TGGTGGAGATGCTATAAAAAGATTATTAAGTGAACTCAATCTTCAAAATACTATAGATGAAAGTCGTAAAGCATGCGAAGAGTTAGCTTATTTTGACCTTAATTTTTACGTATAGAGCTTCTGTTCCTTGTTTACTGTTTGCCTACCTTTTTTTCTTCTCCGCCAACATTTTATTTTATTTGATTTGGGTAGGTATTGAACGTCGAAATTGGCTACGGTTTAAGAAACTGCCGACAACGATTTTCACTGCTGTGACATAATATGATATAATATAATATAATATAATATAATATAATATAATATATAATCATGATATAAGGGAAACACAGATCGAAAGCTTTTTTTTTCTCTTTTCTCTTCTTAAAGGGAAAGGGCGACAGCCTTATGATATCATCTTTGAACAGACCATCCCCCGAACATAACGCCACCTGAAATCGTTGGTAAATTCAGAGCTCCTTTTTTCTTTCTTTTTTTTTTCTGAGTTCTTTTTTTTTTAATCATCTGATTGCATTGGAATGGGATTCGAACGTGAGTGTTTTTTTGTGAGTTCTCTATGATGTAACCTACACGCCTATAAATTTTGAAGCCGTTCTGCTAAGCCAAAAAAACATTAAAAATCGTCAAAGATGGGGGTGTCAAAACGTGCTCGCCCACTCACTATTTTGTTTTTTTTTCACTTTTAACTTTTTGTTTTCACTTTATTTCGAGGCCTGAAACATTTTATTATTTTTTGAAAACTTTTTAATGAGTTATTGATTATGTAAACTACATATCTGTAAATTTTCAGGGCATTTGTCAATGTCAAAAAATAATTAAAAATCGGCAAAGATGGCGGTGTCGAAAAGGTGCTGGCACACTCACTCATTTTAATTCTCTTTTTATTTTTTCTTATTTTTATAAAATTTTATCATAGTGTTTATTTTCTGTATTGGCTTTTCAATTCAAATTTGGTACAGAATTTGGATGTAGTGCCCAGGCAAATGTTGTTTAGTTTATTTTTCTCCATAACATATTTGTTTTTCAGAATTTTTTGAAAAACTTTTTTTTTTTTTTTTTTCTGGTCCGCGGTCCGAACGGCCGAACGCCTTCCGAAGGGGTTCCCGACGTTCGGGCGTTCGGGTTCGGGCGTTCGGCCCGTCCCGAACGCCGGCAACCCTGCCCCTAACATAACGCACCCTGAAATTGAACGTATATAAGGTGTGTTTGGGGCCCGATACAGTCAAAATCAGGGTGCGTTGTGTTCGAGGGAAGACGGACGCTTCAACAGGTTGGTGTACCAACCGAGCTATTCCCCCGAACATAACGCACCCTGCAAATGAACGTATATAAGGTGTGTTTGGGGCCCGATACAGTCAAAATGAGGGTGCGTTGTGTTCGAGGGAGGACGGAAGGCCAGTCGGTGAGACCGTAAGCTTTTTCTTTTTCTTTTTTATTTTCTTTTTTTGGACCGTAAGCTTTTGTGATGTCCAAAAAAGGAGATCCGCATCTTAGTGCATGCTTAAGGTGGTCAGGTGCATGGTCAGCACCCGACTATGTCGTCAGTACAGGTACATTGAGACGATCCCATTTCTTCGTTTATTCTTTTTGTCCTCTGGGGCGACTGCACCCCGAATCCACAGACGAAAAAAGCAAAAAGAGAGGGCGGGAAGAAAAGGGTGTGAAAAAAAAGAAAAAAAAAAGGGTGTGGGCGTGGGGAGTGGGAATTGGGAGTGGGTGGTGATACCAGGTTGAGACTGGGAGGGACTGGGTCAAGGATTTGCGTGAGGATTGGACGTAACAAATTAACACCTGAATCTGGACGTGTTTGTGGAGAGGTGCAGAAAAATTCGATTGATATGCCCTTCTCCATCTCAGCATAAAACACGTCCAGATTCAGGGGCACGGTCCCACTAGCACCCGGATTAGCCTTAGCAACCCAATTAAAAAAAAAAAAAAAAGATTAGCCTTAGCTATATCCGCAGGGGCCTGGACCCACTAGCACGGTATTCTACCACGCCGTTCAGGATTTCGATCACGTGTGGCATCGAGTGACTCAGTACGGCCGTCGAATAGATCGGATCTCGACGGCCTGGTAGTTTCCGAGCGGGGACTGTAAAGATGCCCACCTCCCGTCCAATGAGATGCGTCGAAAAAAAAAGAAAAAACGAAGTTGGACTAACTTGGACACGATAGCTCGTGGCTTTGCGTGGGCGGGAAGTCTGGATTTTATGGGCTTTAAAGGGGGGGGGTTGATTTCCAGACTTCGTTTTTTTTTTTTTTTGGCTCTGAGAAATAGAACTTGAAATGTGAAATTCGAATATTATGGTGCATCTGACAGGAACGCTTCCGCGTCTGTCGGCTGGCCTGCTAAAGGCATCATGAGATACATCGCGAGGAATGTATCCCAATACCCGTTACTTGTTCATCCTGGTGAATGTGTTCCTGGACACATTTTATTGCCACGGTACATCACTATGAAGACTTACGTGAAGGAGATCTTAGCAACCCATGAATTCGGGTGCACAGCTGTTCTTCATAGTTTTATGTGCTATTTCAATTCATTTTAAATCAGAAAACGATCCATTCATGCAAATAAAAAATCACTTTGTATTTTCCACAAAAACATAAAACTGTGTCACACGTCCTAGAATACTTCGCTAGTATGGTTTTTTAAAAATACAAAGTGATTTTTTATTTGCATGAATGGATCGTTTTCTGATTTAAAATGAATTGAAATAGCACATAAAACTATGAAGAACAGCTGTGCACCCGAATTCATGGGTTGCTAAGATCTCCTTCACGTAAGTCTTCACGTAAGTCTTCATAGTGATGTACCGTGGCAATAAAATGTGTTTTCAGTATTAAAGAGACTTCATGGGTTGCTAAGATCAGGGACTTTTTTTTTTCCGTCTTGGGACTTTCGACAGCAAATTATAGGACTGCACAGGCACGACGTTTGGGATGCACAGGTTTCTTGGCGACACGGGCGCGGAGACGCTCACACAACCTGAAATACGGCCGGACCTGTATGCATCTGACCGCAATCACGTCCCGAGTGAGGGGGGACTGGAATATGGGTTGATCTGAGCAGAACAGTGGGCGGGAGGGCGGGGGAGGGAAGTGGGAGGGAGGGGCGTGCTCACACCGGTGCCTTCCTGAATGCATCGGACCTGAATTACGGCGCCACTTGGAGGCATCTGACGTTAATCACACGGCGAGCTCCTATTTGGTGGACCTAAGCAGTTAGGTGGGCCGGAAGAGGTCGGATTATTTTCCAATTTCCTTATTTTTAATCCACTTTTCTGAAATATTTTTCAGGGAACTATGACCTCCCTCTACCCAAAACTAGTGTGCTCTAGAGAGAAGACTCCCCACCCATTTTCATTTGGAAGACATGGAAAAAGTGAAACGAACCAAACAGTTGAAGAAAAAGGCAGCTCCGTCAGATCTACTTCGAATGGGCGGCCCTTACGGATCGGAGTACAACGTTTTACAGAAAACACATGTGCCCCGGGTATAGCGAAGGCTAATCCGGGTGCTAGTGGGACCGTGCCCCAGGCGCTTAATCCAATCCACTTTGCTAGGATTTAACGCCTGAAATCTGGACGTGTTTGTGGAGAGGTGCAGAAAATCGCAATTCCTCTGCATTTGCGCATCTCTGCATATAATACACATCCAGATTCAGGCGCTTAGTCCAATCCTCTTTGCTAATGGGATGTCGCCCGGGGAATAGCAAGAGGATAAGAACATAGCTTTAAAAAAAAA